AGAGTTGTAAAAGTTAGGGTCTTGCAAATGCAAGGAAAGCAAGTTTAACACTGAAACAAGTGCTTATTCTGTGCCATTAGCATGGTCCATCAATTATAGGAGAGGATGGATTTAAGAGTAGAGAGCTTTGGAAAAAGACAAAAGTTCTGATTTTGATAGCTGCTCTTCCATTTAATCTTTAAGAATACCTTATGATGAGAAGGAAGGAAGAGGGAGAGAGAGAGAGATAGAAACATCAATGATGAGAGAAAATTACTGATCGGCTGCTTCCTGCATGCTCCCCCACTGGGGATCAAGCCCACAACCCGGGCATGTGCCCCTGACCAGAATCAAACCCAGGACCCTTCAGTCTGCAGGCCAATGCTCTATCCACTGAACCAAACTGGCCAGGGCATGTGTTCAATTTTTGTACATCTACTGAATTATTTAAAAACTAGAGACCCAGCACACGAAATTCGTGTGTGCAGGTATGGTCCCTAGGCCTAGCCTGCAATCAGGGGTGTGTGGGGCAACCGACAGGGTGGAGGCCTTTGGCCTGGCACTGCCTGTATCCCCTGCCACCCACTCCCAGTTCCCCATCTGCCATCGGGTGATGGGAGCCGGGAAAAGGGATCAAGAGGTGGTCAGTGCGCCTCATAGTGACTGGTCAACCGATCATTCTGGTCATTCCACCGTTAGGGTCAATTTGCTTATTACCCTTTATTATATAGGATGAATCAGAGTTGTAAAAGTTAGGGTCTTGCAAATGCAAGGAAAGCAAGTTTAACACTGAAACAAGTGCTTATTCTGTGCCATTAGCATGGTCCATCAATTATAGGAGAGGATGGATTTAAGAGTAGAGAGCTTTGGAAAAAGACAAAAGTTCTGATTTTGATAGCTGCTCTTCCATTTAATCTTTAAGAATACCTTATGATCTCACTGTAGTTTATATTTGGCTTCAGACTGAAAATATAAGGTGATATCTCCCTCAATTTTCAACATCAGAAAACATTATGTAACCTTTCACAGAAGTATATAATCTCAATCCCCCATTAATTTGCTTGTGATCTCCTAAGCAAAGAGATGGTGGTCTAGGGAAACCATCCATTAGAGAAAGTGCCTGCTGAATTTGAGAAACCTGGCACTATGCCAGGAGATATTCCTGACTTTTCTTTTTTAAAAAAATACGTTTTTATTGATTTTAGAGAGAGTGGAAGGGAGAGATAGAAACATTGATGAGAGAAAAACTTTGATAATGCCTCCTGTACGCTCCCTAATGGGGATCAAGCCCACAACCTGAGCATGTGCACTGACAGGGAATTGAACCAGTGACCTCTTGGTTCATGGGTCGATGCTCAACCACTGAGCCACCCTGGCTGGTCATTCCTGACTTTTCTAGCAAGTCTAGTAGGCACATTGTGCTATACCAAACTTTCATTCATTCAGCAAATAATGAGCACACACTCTATGCAATACACAAAGAAGGAAGTATGAAGGAAAACACAAGACACCATCTCTGTAATTCCAGAGCTTATAGCGCCAAACCACACTCACAGAAAATTAAAAGCACAATACAGAGCAGGATGTGAGCTAATGCCGAGATAGCTGTGCAGCCTAGAAGACTAGGAAGCTGGAGATATACACTCTATGCGAGGCACACTATTCATGTAATTTTGAGCAAGAAATTTCACTTTTTAAGGACTGCTGCCCCATTTTACGAAGGAAGTATTTCCTAAAGGGTTCCTGATAACTCTTCACAGATGTTTAAATTAGCTATTCTGAGGTATAATTTAGATACAATAAAATTCATCATTTTTATGTGTGCAACTCAATGAGCTCTAACAAATGTATACAGCTATCTCAATCATGACACAGAAACCACCACCAAAAATTCCCTCATACTCCTCTCTGCAATTAATCCCTTCCCCCAGCTCCCAAGACAGATCTACTTCTATTACAGTAAATCCTCAATTCTGCGGACCTCGGTTTAATGGACAAAATTTCCAGTCTGTATGTCATATGTAAAATTGACATCCTATTAATTTTAAAACGCTTTTTTTTTTTAAATATATTTTATTGATTTTTTACAGAGAGGAAGGGAGAGAGATAGAGAGTTAGAAACATCAATGAGAAAGAAACATCGATCAGCTGCCTCCTGCACATCTCCTACTGGGGATGTGCCCGCAACCCAGGTACATGCCCTTGACCGGAATCGAACCCGGGACCTTTCAGTCCGCAGGCCGACGCTCTACCCACTGAGCCAAACCGGTTTTGGCAATTTTAAAACGCTTTTAACCAAGATTTGTTTATAACTAAACAGGTTATTTTTGTTATTAATTCACTAAAATTTGTTATTTTTAAATTTTAGCGAATAGGCCATATGTTGGGAAAAAACACTGTAGTAATTTTGCCGACATAAATATTACGTATGTACGACTGTAGTCTACGTATTTCAATCCAAGAGTCACCGCTCGTAAAAAATGTTCAGCATGTGATCAATTCACACCGTGTGAGGTGATTGGTTCTGTTGTCCCCTGGCATGAGTCTCTGCAGCAGTTTTAATGCCTGCCCACCCATGTTCCCACATGCACTAAGCCCTGCCTCAGTTGTGTGCATTTGTTTACTCTCAGTGACTGCTGAATACATGAATTTACTAGAGTATAAATTTAAAATTACAAAAATACACATAGAAAACGCTTCTGTGAAATTAAAATTTTCATATATGCAAAACAGGTAAACTAGTCAATATTTTTTTACACATACATTCGGAAAACCTACTTTATTATATAACTAGAGGCCCAGCACACGGACTTGTGCACCGGTGGGGTCCCTTGGCCTGGCCTGCAGGGATCAGGCCGAAACTGGCTCTCCGACATCCTCCGAGAGGTCCTTGATTGCAAGAGGACGCAGGCCAGGCCGAGGGACCCCACTGGTGCATCCGTGCACCAGACCTCTAGAATGCATCTAAGATCCTAAGTTAATTTCTTCCCATCCTCCCCTCTGAGATTCATCAGTCTGTTCCATGTTCCCATGCCTGTGGTTTCCGCTCCTGCATTGAGCGTCCACCCACTGGTGGTCAGTGCACATCATAGCTACCTGGTGGGCCGGTCACTTAGGCTTTTATATATATAGACTAGAGGTCCAGTGCATGAAATTCGTGCACAGGGGCGGAGAGGGGGGGCATCCCTCAGCCCGGCTTGCACACTCTCCAATCCGGGACCCCTCGGGGGATGTCCAACTGCCAGTTTAGGCCCGATCCCTGCGGGCCTAAACTGGCAGTCCGACACCTTCCTAGCAATCTGGGACTGCTGGCTCCTAATCGCTTGCCTGCCTGCTGGCCTGATCCCTCTAAGTGCGCTCCCCTGCCAGCCTGATCACCCCTAACTGCCTCTGCCTTGGCCCCACCACCATGGCTTTGTCCGGAAGGACGCCTGGTCTAATTAGCATATTATCCTTTTATTAGTATAGATGCCTTTTGGCTTTAACAGACACTGCCTTGCCCAAATTAGTCCATTATATTGAGGTTTTTTTAAAAATATATTTTTATTGATTTTTTTACAGAGAGGAAGGGAGATAGAGAGTTAGAAACATCGATCAGCTGCCTCCTGCACATCCCCCACTGGGGATGTGCCCGCAACCCAGGTATATGCCCTTAACCGGAATCGAACCCAGGACCCCTCAGTCCGCAAGCCGACACTCTATCCAATGAGCCAAACCGGTTTCGGCTATATTGAGTTTTTACTGTATTATAGTTTTGCCTCTTGTAGAATTCCATATCAGTAGAATCATATGTCAGCTATCCTATATAATAAAAGCCTAATATGCTAAGTGTCTGGCCATCTGTTCAACCAATCAAAGCATAATATGCTAATGATATGTTAAGGCCACTCAATCACTCGCTATGACATGCAGTGACCACCAGGGGGCAGATGCTCCAACTGATAGGTTAGCTTGCTGCTGGGGTCCAGCCAATCAGGACTGAGCGAGACAGGCTGGACATGCCCTAGAGCCCTCCTGCGATCCCTCCCCGGCTGGTCAACCTCCCACATCTCTCCCCGTCCTCGATTGTGCATCAGTGGGGTCCCTCAGCCTGGCCTGCACCCTCTCACAATCCAGGACCCCTCGGGGGATGTCAGAGAGCTGGTGTCGGCCCAATCCCACAGTCCAGGCTGAGGGACCCCACTGGTGCACGAATTCATGGACTGGGCCTCTAGTTATAAATAAAACTGCTGAAACATTTGTGTACCAGTCTTTGTGCAGACACGTGATGGTGTGGTTGGGTACCATCCAATCTGTTGAGACCTGAATAGAACAAAAGGCAAAGAAAGGAGGAATTTGCCTTTTTTTTTTGTCTCACTGCTTGAGCTGGACATCTTAGCTCATCTTCTGTTGCCCTTACACTGGAATTTACACCACCGGCTCCCCCAATTCCCAGGCCTTTAGGCTCAGACTGAATTATATTACTGGCTTTCCTTGTAGGCAACAGGTTATGAGACTTCTCAGCTTCCATAATCTAGAAACCCTGACTGATGCAACACATTTCATTTTTTCCTTGTTAATATCTAGGAGTAAAAATTCTGGGTCATATCTATAGAAACTACCAAACTGTTTTCTAAAGTGGTTGTACCACTTTGCATTTCCACCAGCAATATATGAAAATTCCAGCTACTGCCCATGCTGATAATATCATTTGAGTTTTAGCCAATCTGAATTGCAGAGGTGGGTATGTAGAAGTGATTTTAATTTGTCCTTCCCTGCTGTCTAATGATATACAATATCTGTTCATATGTTTATTTGCCACCTTTGGTCTGTTTACATCTTTTGCCTACTTTAAAAAATCAAGTTGTTTATCTTACTATTGAATTGTAAGATCCTTTATATTCTGACTACAAACCCACTATCTAACATGTGTTTTACAGATATTTCCTCCTTCCTCTAGTCTTGCCTTTACATTTTTCTTAACAATGGCTTTTGAAGGACCGATGTTTTACATTCTGACAGAATTCATTTCTTATCCCTACCTCCAGTGACTCCTTAGTGGCATAGGTGGTGCCACCATTGTCACATAGGCGATCAGACATTATATCGGATAGGACACCAGAGTAGTAAACGTTTATTATTCTTAAAGCTCTCTATGGAGGTTCCCAATGGCTCACAATAAAAGGCTGTGCCAGGGAGTATTCAATTTTCCTTGTTATGTCTGGATAGTACCTCAACCATTTAAAGGACAAATATGTAGTAAGAATAGTTCTTCATTCCTTATCTAGACAAAGCTCCCTGGCTACCCAGATACTTAGAAAATGTCAATTGCATTACCTTTGGAAGGTTAATTGTAAAGCCTATTCACTGTCTGAATAAATAATAGATATTATGTAAAAAATAATAAAGAGATGACAAATGTACCTGTCAAGAGGAAGAGGGTTACTATATCACAACAGAAAGCCTCAGTTAAAACAACCAAGCTTATTACAAAGTACAATTCTTATAAACCAAAGATTGTCAATAAAAAAATTATACAGAATATCCCTAATGAGTTCTTGAAGTTTATACCAAGTCACCTCTTTCTTCTCCAAATTCTTTCTAGGCAATCTAAATCAGGTTCACAAATTCATTTATTACATACTAGAGGCCTGGTGCACAAAAATTTGTGCACTCGGGGGGGAAGGGGGTGTCCCTCAGCCCGGCCTGTGCCCTCTCGCAGTCTGGGACCCCTCGGGAGATAAC